TCGCTTCTTTCTGAGATTATACAAAATGCAGAATTATATCACCATTACCGCTGAGAATCATCGCAGAAGCTCTGTGCTAGTTGGTGGTAGATAAATACTGGATAGAGAAATACTTTTTATCTTTCGACTAGCAATTTTTGCTCTCAAAATACCATGTAGTCTCCATGTGCTGGGAGGCTTTTTTCAATCTGAAGAGTACTATAGGGACTGACATAATGACTGCTGTAAATTATCAGCCTTTTCAACAGTTCTTGCAATAAGAATGATTATTTAAAAAAAAAAACAAAAAAAAAAAAACAAAAAAAAAAACAAACAAACTTAAAATTTATCCCTGCTGGATTTTGTGCAATTGTAGAGTAGTGCTAAATTTTTGTTATTTTTTGTTGTCGTTAATACTTTGCTCCCAGTTTGATGGCACTGAAACAACTTGATTAGCTTCTGTTTTGTCTTCCTGCACCTTTTGCTGAGAAATCTGTAAATAGGGAGAAACTCTTAATGATCTAAACTAGTATTTCTAATGTAGGCTTTCTTTTTAAGACATCACTTCCTAGTGTTTGTTTTATTCTTTCTCATACATCCTCTCAGTCTCCATCTCCTACTTTTGTTTGTAAGTAGTCACCTCAAGTCTAGAAGTGACAGGTAAAATATAAAAATATGCTGTTATAATACTGTGCACTGAAAAAGATTAACAGCACTTTATCAGCATGAAGAATTTTAAGAATGAATTTTGAAACACTTTGCTGTCCTTTCCTCCTTTCATGTTGCTGAAGCAATTTGCATCTCTCTGTGTGGAGTAAGGGAAATAAACATCTTGGCACGCTTGCTGGAGCAGCTTCCAACACTTTGGTATATATTTTTTAGCTGTCTGATCTTTCTCTCTCCCTTTTTCTGCTAAAAATTTCCCCAGGACTTTTCTCATTGCCTCCTTTTTACTCTCAGCCTCTTAAAATTTGTAAAGTTTTTATCTCTTCACCCTCATGGGCCCATTTTGCTGCCTCTTCTGGAAGCACCAGAGTCTGAGTCCTACAGGTCTCTAGGCCCAGAGATGGGCACCATCTGTATGATGTCTGCATGACTCATAACAGGGAAATCAGAAGAATAACTCTTACCTGTAATGCTTCAGATGCAGGTTTTTGTGTATATAATTATCACATTTGCTTTTAAATTGGCAGTATGTCTGAGTTGTGCGCATTAAGCATGGTTGGGATGCAAGATGCTGCACTAAGCACAGTACTTTCAGGCTTGGCAGGCATTCCATCAGTGACAAGAGCAAACATAGACATACCAAACACTGATAGTAAAATCTTCCTATGTTTTAAAAGGATCCCTCATTAGCAACATCTTTAACAACTGAAACTTTTTTACACCTTACCCCTTCTAGTTTCCTAGAATGTGATCAGAGCCACTGTTTATTATTTCTAGATGAAACACTGGAGAAGGGAGGGACAGAAGGAAAGAAGAAAGCATGAAGAATAAAAATCAGAATGAGAGATCAGGAAGGAGATACTGCTTCCATCTATAAAAGATCTTTCCTTCTTAACATGGGTTAAACCTAGAGCATGTCTTCTATGCAACTGCCCAGAAAACCTGGGTATAGTTATGCACAAAGGGGCTGTGAGCCTTTGTTGTTGTAATCATGCTGAAATATTCTGCCTTTTAGATGAAATTGATTTAAAACTACTTGGACATCCTCACACTTCCAATTACTACCATCATTTTTGCCTTTGGTGTCCTTCAGATATTCATGATGCTTGTTTATTCTGCTGTTTCCTCATTCACCCCCCTCCCTGCCTTGCTAGCTTAGCTTACTACTACTACTACTGTGTTTTTAATGTTAAGCCTTCCATTTATAATGCAGCAGCATAAGACATTCAAATGAATAATTGTAGGGCTGCAGCACAGTAATGTTTCTTCCTGTTAGACTTGTCAGGTGTCATGGAAAGGTGGATTAAAATTACTTGAACATTGACAGAAGAAAACTTTGGATCTTCCTTAGAAAAGCATCTCTTGCATTCCCCCACAGGGGACTGCTTTCCTTTGTTTTGCTCTTTTATAAAACTAGAGATCCCTTACTTCACAGCAGGAAACCTGGAAATCTTGAATTTATGTGTTGCGGCAAAATGCAGCTACTGCAAGGTGGATGGAACAGTTATTTTCATCTTTTGGAAATAAACACAGATAATTTTTCCCTTCAGTTTGCCTGATTCTCAGTATCCACCCCAGGCTCCCTGGATTGAATCTTCCTCAGTCTATTTTCTGCCCTTCTAATGAGTTTGGGAGAGTAAGGTGGGAGAATTCTTTCCAGGCTGAGAAACAAGATGATATTTTTGGATGGTGGATGCATAGGAAATAACTTGATCCTTCTGCAAAGTAAGCAAGTATTATAATGACACAAACAGTGCCGCACAAACCAGTAAATTATCTGAGCATCTATATGAATGATAGACTAAAAGAGCATGAGTTAGATATTTCAGACCTAGGGAATACGTTGGTGTTAAAATAGCTGAAGAAGTTCAAAGACAGTCACTTGCTCTTAGGGGCAAGTGCCTGAGGACCTGCTCAGTTTGCATGGAATAATGCAGTTCAAGAAGAAATCCAATTACTGAGCTAATTATCACCTTGTATGAGTGGTAACAATCAAATTTAAGGCAGGAAGCCACTGGAGAATGGCACAAATCTCCCACTTGTCCAAGAAGTTCACTTAGAAGGTCCTACTTGACAGCAAAAAGACCAGGAGTAAAGATGTAGCTAGTTGGAGTTTAAGGAGCAATGCTTTGGAGTTTAATGCTAAGCAAAATGCTGTTCCCTTCAAGAAGCTGCAAACACAGCTACAGCTACTAATAATTGTGGAAGATTTTAAAAATCCTACGTGATTCCTTGAGTGAATTTCTTCAAGTAAACTGAACTTCAGGACAAAAGTAGTTCACTCTGCTTTATCAACTGTACGTATTATCCTTGGTGTTCATAAAAAAATGAAAATTATCCTTCAAAATGTCAGTATGAGTCTTTGAGTGTAGCTGGTAGTATCTGAAGAGTTGAATCCTTTCTCATCTCATGTCCTGAGGCCTGTGTGTTTAAGAAATTGTGCTTAGAATGAAGGAAGAAGCTGCAAAACAGCCTGTTTTGGCTTTGCGAGAGCCCTTCTGCTTCCTGCCCTCGTTCAGGCTGCTTCATCTGTCACGGAATCACCTGCAGCACTCACATTTCTCCTAAAAAGGAAAAAAAAAAAAAGGGGGGGGGAGGAGGGGGAGTGGGTAGAAGGGAGGGAATGAAACAGTCAGAGTTGCATGCTGCATAAAGGGTTCTTTATATAGATAGAATTTTCTGTATACTGCTTGATTTGTATGAGTCTGAATGAGCTTCAAAAACAGTAAAGGTTTACAGGTTGATGAAAATTCGGTGTAAAAAGTAGTATTGACTTGTACTTCATTCTGCCACACTGATTTCAGAGGGACTGAAAGCTAATAAGTAGTCTCGTAATCTTAACACAAGCAGTTTTGAAAATGGCAATGTTTTTCTGCTGAGAATGGAAAATTGTTTGAATTCTACAACCTAATCTTTGTGCTTACTCTTGCATATGTTGCATTTGCAGGTGGATGTTTATCTGGGTGAAAGAATTCTGACAAGCTTTTTGAAGTAAAATCATTCTTTATATTCTGAATTGCTTAGGAACCCCCCCTTCCCCCCCCCCCATGTTACCATTTTCTGTTACATAGGAAATGAAAACTGTCGTTCTTCTTGTAACTTGGCCAACCAGATGAAGGAAGATAAATAATACATCAAATGAAATGTTAATGTATGTAGATGGTATCCTAATATTAATTACAAATAATTCTAATTACAACTCCTATCTTCCCTGACTGTATTTATTACAAAGTGAAGAACATGCTTTTAAAAGCAAATATCACTAGTTCAATGGGAGTAAAAAGTACAGCAGTTTTTTACCCTTTTCTACAGCATGATAGTGTGACTCTGCTAGTTTGCTGGTTAGTTTTCCATAGGTTGGTTGGTTGGTTGGTTGGTTGGTTTTGTTTTTTTTTCCCCATAGCAGAGTCAGCTGTAGAAGGTGGATAAAAAAAAATAATTCTAAAGTGGCATCCTTCCCTCAATTCAGCTTTAGCATGAATTTATAGCTTTAGTGTACAATCTTCCAGACCTTTAAATCACTTGTATATAGAAACATAAGAAATCATAAAGCACCATTAGCAGAGTAATATTTTGGGCTAATAATGTAGGTTTCCTGTAGCATTCTTGTTAGCTGAGGCTTTCACTTGTACTCTGAAGGCTTGGGAGATGGGTATTGGGTAAATGCTTTGGACTTCTGGTGTTGAGTACCTCTAATCACCACAGCAACCACTTCCTTCTTCAGCTTGCCCACACAGATTTACTTGTTCTTTATCTTCAGACTTTACCATGTATTTTGTTATGGGTAAGAATATAAGCTCCATCCACTATTCCTTACAGTCCTTTCCATTCTGTGACTATTTCTCCTATGGGATTTATATCCCTCTGGTACAGTGAAAACTTGGAGTAGGGGCTTTGTCATTCCCAAGAGAGACAGGATTTCTTTGTGGATGGACTGAGTGCCAGAGTTCACTCTGTTTTTTAAGAAATGACTACAGGGAATCTCTCATTCTGCCTAGGTAAATAAACTAAATAAACAAAGTGCATTTGTTTTCCTTTCATGTTATACACCCACAGAAATGTTTTCAGATAATCAAAACCCATTATATTGAGTTATTGGCCTAAGGACTTAGAAGGGAAGAAAGTCTGGTTCAATGTTTTTTCAGTGTTCAATGTTTCGGTGGCACCCGACTGATGTGCTTCTGGAACAAGTATGTATACACACTTGGAATAAACTGATGACCAGGTTAGAGGTGTGTATTGCATACTGATATGGAACGTAAAGAAATATTAAAAAGAAAATAAAAACAGTTCTTTGGTAGAATCTCATTTAAAACAGAGTATGCTGCACAACTGGCTGTGTCTTTGTTTTCTAGCACCAAAAGGTCGGACCATTCCAACACAAGACTGGCAATTCAGATCGAAAAAGATGCAGGTATGGCTTGGGAACTTGGGTGATTTGTTTTGCTTCATTTGCAAAATGTGATGTGTTTACTCCATTAAGGCTTTAGCTGTTTGAGAGATTCAAAGGGATTAAATGTTACGGGAGCAAACCAGAGTGTTTTAAATGTAACAGAGCACCTGTTTAAGTCATGTACCTTGATAAATAAATGCACTCTTGATTTACGTGAAGCTGATTAGGTAGCTGCTGGGATACAAATCACTTGATTAACAGCCTTTCTGTTTGCGTGGAGCACGTGGCAGACACTCTAGCTAGACTTGAAGGTCAGCCATGGTCAGGGAAGGGTTTTGGAAAAAAGCAGCAGATTGACGGTGCCCCTATCACTATACAGTTTGGGCTGATAGGTATCTCCTATTCTCTGGAGAGAAGCCCTTCTGGATGAGTGGTAGAGGAAGGGAAAGGGAAGTGAGAGGGGCTAAAAGTGCAGGAGGAATCAGAAAAAAAATAAGCATGTAAGCCGATGGATTTCTCCTTCAGGTAACGGTCCATTAAGTGAGCTCTGATCCACAGCAATCCAAAACACCTTCCTGATTTGCACTGAGCAATTCTCGTGAGACTGGGAATGGGGCATTTTTTGACAATTTAGGAGGCATGAGGTGTGTATGATACCCGAGCTGATGCTCTCCAACGGCACAGGGTCCTTTCCAGCTGATATCTGGGTTTCATGCCAAATCCTGGTTCCAGTGAGAGAGGTTAGGATTTCATAAGTGGTTTCTTCCTGTTCCGCATTCTGCGACTGCTTTTATTTTACCTCTGAGGTTTTGGAGGCTTGTATTGTGGTAGAAGTTTACCTTGTGATTATTCCCACATTATTCTGTTTTCAGACCTCCCCACCCTCCCTTTTAGTGCTTATCCCTTAGCAGCATGAATAAATACACATCTTGAAGCAGAAATTGGAGTAATCCGGGATGTCTCTGAAGACAAAAGGAGTGTTAGCAGTTCGAGGCATACATAATACTCTTTCTTATTTATCATTTCAAGGCAAAGTGTTAAGATGTTTCTCAAGGCCATTCTGTCTTCTGATAACAATAACCCTTATTATTAGCATATGTGCTGATTACACATGTTGACTGTGTTTTTAAAAGTATAGCTCAAGTGAAGCATTCCTTTTGTGTGTGCTTCAAAAATTTGCTTTTGATAATTGTACTCCAGAAAATATCTAGCAGAGAATGTCTGTACCTACATACACACCTGTGTGTCTGTACGTACTGTATATACCAATGGCCATGGTGATGAAATGCTGTGTAGTAACGTGCCCACTTTTCTTCCTGTTTTGATGAGCAATTTGTAGGGGAAATTGCAGCCTGATGTCCTCTTATTTTTTCTCTAAAATATAGACTTATATAAATATTCGTACGTACCTGTACACATGTATTCATGTATATTCTTGTACCTTAGAGGTCTTTTCCAACCTTAATGAACAGTTAATCCAAGCTGTGTCTAAATGGACAGCTGATGCTATTTGTAAAGTGAGTGGTAGCGATTCTTGTCTTGAATGAACTTTGTTTCATTTTTTTTTTCAATATACTGAACATGCCTTTTTGTGTGCTCATCTTAATTACTCAAAGGATATGTCATAGACCAAACCTTGAAAAACTCCTAGAGGACTACAGGAAGTAATTCCCAGCAGAACTAGTGGAAAATGTGACAAATTATTTAGCTTGTGAAAGTATCATAAATAATATTTAGATTTAAGCTTGTGCACATAATCATGATTTCTAGTTTCTGAAATGAAGAACAATAGATAGACTTCAACTTAGCATAGCAGAGTCTGTCAGTGGAGCTGAGAAATTCTTGATGTTGTAAAACACAAATAAGGTAATTCGGTTCAGCCTGATCTCTGTTATCACTAATTTGTTGTTGGATTTATGATATTGTTTGTATTAAGCAAAAGTTTCAGGCCTGATTCTCTAAGGGAAACTACTTAGCAGTTTTGTAGTGCAGTTCATGTAAACTATCACCAGGAAGATAGTTCTCTCCACCTAGCTGGAGGAAGAGGTCTGATGCAGGAGTGAAAAAGAGGATAGGATTTTATGCAGAATGGCTTAGTTTGTTTTGGTTTGGTTTTTTTACAAATATCTGCTGCTCTGGTTGCAGGAAATGATGACAATAATCTCAACTCAATATTTTATGAGCATTTGACAAGATCGCTGCAGGAGTCACTTTGTGGAGATTTGATTCTGGGCCGATGGGGAAACTACAACACAGGAGACTGTTTTATTCTAGCATCAGATTATCTAAATGCATTTGTGCACTTGATCGAAATTGGGAATGGCCTGGTCACCTTTCAGCTCAGAGGGCTGGAATTTCGAGGTAAGGATTCCTGATGATTTAAATAACAGCAGAAACTGCCTGTGTTTCTTAACCTGTCACAAATTTATTTTTGATCTTAAGATCTTAACATAGATTTTAACATTCCCTCCTGCCATTTTTTTAAGTTGATATTTCTGCTTAAAAACTCTGTATTTCTTGTTATCATTACTTGAATTACAGATTTTCAAAACTTGAATGTTAAGAAATTTGTACTCGTGTTCTGCAGTATCACAAGACATTCAGAAACAAAATGTACTGAGTTTTTCTTTGGTTCACTGATCTTTCATGTTACGCTTAGGCAAGTATTCAAATTATTTTTCTCTCTCCATAATCACAAAAATTGAAGTTGCTATTAAAATTGTTCAACTTCCCCACAAACTGGCCTTTGAAACACTACCAAAAATGGTAAGATGCCTCCCACAGTAAATATCCCATGTCAAATTATGCAAAATGCTGGTGCTGAGATGGTTTCCATCACTGTGGAGTAGGAGAGAAGAAGCAAGTAAATCAAGCTTTCATATTTCTCTTATTTGGGATATGCTGAATTCGGCTGATGAATGTGTTCTTCTGTCATGACTCTCCTTTCTAGGGAAAGATATTTGCATCCCCTTCCTAGATGCTGTGATGTTTGTGGGGCTTGTTAGTATCACACTCCTGTTTTCTTCATGAAGTGGGGAGAAAAAAGAAAGCAAATCCACCAGGCTTTTCAACAGTTTTTAAATTCTCTTCATGCTGTGTGCCTTGGCTGTAGTTGCTGCTTGGGTTTGTAACCTTTCAAAGATGTGATGCTTGGAATGTGGTGCAGATGCTGGGAGTTTTGAAATCCTGGAATAAACAGATTCTCAGGCTCAAGGGCTGAGCAACTAATGGACAATGTGTTGAGGGATGTGTAATCAAGGCAACTTTTCATCAAGGTTGCATATGAGAAAACAGGAGATGGACTGACTCTTTGAATGCAATTAGATGTGGGAGAGAAATAGGAAATTACACGTGGGCTCAGGTCTTGACTGCAACAGACTGCTGTTAAGCAGGTTGTGGTATGTATTTCATGCTCACTTTCCTTTCTGTATGCTGAGGAGGAAAATAACATTCTTCTATTTTAAGAAAAATTTTGTGGAAAACAGTAAAAAAAAAAACCTGAAACAATTTGGTGTTGTAGTAGCTGGTGAGATTCCAATTCAGTACAGAGGCAAATTGTAAGAATAAAGCAAATGGAAAGGAAGAGGGAATTTGTTTTTCAGCCTTATAATCCCTTGTTGTTTGTAATGATGGTGATGTATGCATGTCTGTGGCTTTCTTCAACTTCAAAGACATCGGTGCAAGAATTATCTTCTTTTGCAGAGCTATGCAGTAGTGTTCATCTGTTAGAGATAGGTACTGAAGTTAATGTCTTATAGCGGGCACAGGTGGAAAGGTTTTTCTTTCGTGGAGATTTGGAATTTGCTTTTATTTCTTTTATGTCCAGACAAGACAAATGGAGATCCGAGTTGCTCTTAAAGAACAGTTAAATGCTGTGGCAGTTCAAATCCCTCAGTTGTAATACTGCTGATTTCACAGGCTGATAAATCTCTGAGATAATTGTTGGTTTTGGTGGTTTTTGTTGTTTTTGTTCTTTAGGACAGTTTTAGTCAGTCTGTTATTTCTGGTCCCTGTTAGTTGCTCACAGTACAGTTCTCTATGGAAACTTTGTGAAGCCAGAATATGTTTCATGTCTGGAGATCTGAAAATAAAAGTGACTTCCAGGTTGGATTTATGTATGTCTGAAAAGTGATGTATCTTACAAGTTGTTGACATTGCGTTTACTTTTTTGGAATTTGGAGTGAGCAGGACCATACATGTTTCCATTATCTTCCATCCTGATTTTACCAAACCGTCTTTGCTTTTCTGTTAAAATAGTTCCTTGTAGGATTTGAAACGAAAGAAAGAAAGAAATTTTTCATGCTTAAGCTGTGAGAGCTATTTTTTAATTTGCCACCTCCTGCTGGGTACCTCTCCATCAACACCACTCCAATGCCATTCAAGAAAAGTAAACCTTGCAAAGACCAATGAAAAATGTGAGAGGATGCTCAAACCACATTCGGCTGGATAAAACGATTGGGGGCCTAGAAGGCAGGCTTAAAGAGTTGGAAGTTGTGTAGTGAGTGAGTAGATGATAGTTTTGTTGCAAAGTGTCTGGGGAGGAAGATGATTTTGAGCTGGGTTGGTTCATTACCAGATTGGAACTGTTTTGTATCTGAGTCTGAGAGCAAAGCTCAAAAATTATAGTGCTACCTGTGAAGACATCTTTTTATTTCTTAAAATTAATTTCTGCAAGCAAATGGGTCTGAAAATTGATGCTTCCATGCCAGTTGCCTAACACTGTCTCTATTTGCAAGCAGCTCTAATACATCTGCTGTCTGCAACAGCTCTGTAAATTCAGTCTGAAGTGAGCCATCACCTCCTCTAATGTGTCTTCTGGAGCCAGCTGAATTCCAGTCATAGCTGTCCCCCTCCCCATTCTCTCTTGTGTTCTTCAGGAGATCAGCAGCCTTTGAAGGAACACTCATCTGAGTGTTCAGAAGTCCCTATGAATGGGACCAACATAGCAGCAGCAAACCATGAACCAGGAAAGCACAAGTTACTGAAGGAGGAAGAGCGGAGCAGGAAAAATGGGAATGAGAATCTCACCTAGATTGTGAGAGAAAATGTATGATTAGTTTGTGTCCTCATATGATACAAACTGGATGATTTCTTCACCTTTTTTTTTTTTCCTAATAGTTCTCCTAATATTTTCTCTGACTACAGGAGATGTATTGGGAAGAAGAAGGAGGGTGTATATATTGAGTTACATTATTGGACCTAGAGGAGAAAAGCCTATGTGTAGCAAATAACAGAACATACCTGAGGAGAGAAGGGGACACGGGGATCCATGTAGAAGATACAGTCTGAGTAAAAGGAGCCAGAAGGGCTGACATGATGGCAAAGCTGCATAAGGGGACAGGTCAGGGGCTGTTTCAAGGGTTGCCCTCAGCTCAGACAACAGAAAACCATCCTTTCAGCAGGATTGCTCCTGTTGGGGCAGGAAGTTAGGCAGGGCTCCCCTGGGAAGTAGGAGGGGACCATCTCCTGCACCAGCTGGGCAGGTTCTTCCCATTGCAAGTCTTGCAAACGCTCCGTGGCGGTGATGGGGAACATACAACTCAATACAGTAGGATTTTTTTTCTGTATGTAGTTAGAGTGCATTAAACTGCTGGAAGAACTTTGGAGCTTTCAAAGCTAAGAGGCAGTGCATGATAAGCACCAGGCTTTAAGTCCACATACAGCCATGTTTCTTTTGCTTTGTGCATCTCACATTCCTATTTTTAGTTGTCTGGTCATATGCTGAATTTCACATAGGACCCTGTCTTCATTCATTCTAATGAATGGTTTCCAATTCATTTTTCCCAAAGAGGATAAAAATGGGCAAGAACTCGGAGTCTGTAATTTTTGAGCTTTGGCTTCTTCACTTCTACTTCAATTTCAAACATGTAAACTTAATTGAGGGCCCTAAAAATCCAGTCTTCCATAAATAGGAAGTCTACATTTGCCTGGGAAATAAATGAATCATAACAAAGTTCTCTGTGACTGTTTTCTGAGTAAGCCAAAATGACTATTTACATCAAGGAGTCTGGATTTTCCTGCATTTGTCATTGTGGGTGAAAAGCTGTGTTGGCAGTGCTGCAGTCTCCAAAGAGGTCACATTGTCTTCTGAATTCATGCATACTGGGAGCAGGAAAAATTGCCTCCCCTATTTGTATCCAGCTTCATTAAGAGCTGGCATTGTAAAATGACCAATCCAGATTCCTTTCTATCTGTATGTAATCAAAACACATGTGTCTCAGCTGTTAAATGAAAGGCATCTTTGCAGTAAGGGTAAGAAGATACAGATTGAGTAAACTGAAATAAGAGTTGGCAAATCTGGGTTTCCCCTCAACCGTCTTTAGTCCAGTTCAAATAGCACACCTGGTATGAATTAGTTCTTCACTCTCTTTTCTGATGACAAAGAGGGGATGTGCCTCCACTGTGCCATTAATCCTGTGTATAAAGCAGAGATGCCCATCTCCTCTATCAAAAATGGAGAAGGTACAGATGAGCTCAGGCTAGGTGAAAATTTGTAGATGTTTGCACATTGCTATAAGTGAACCAAGCCCTTCAGTAACTTAGCTGTACTGTCTGTGCTAGACCACAGTGCTATGCTAAGAGCAACCTGCCAGAAGAAATATGTAATGTATCATTTAATTTGAAAGGAAAAGACAGGGGAAAGCCTGCAACTGGGGAACAAGCAGAAGGAATGTCAAAATATCTGCCACCTGCAAGTTCCCTGTAGGAGTACTTAAAATATTTTCCTGTTTAGTCTATGCCTCAACAAAATGTCTTTTGGAGACCATCCAGTTAGGTGTTGCGCGAGCAGAAATTACTTCTGGATGGTAATGCTGATTTCTTGAGGAGCTGTTTTCTAGCTCGTTCCTAGTATTCTTCAATCATGTAATTAACTTCTAAATCTGTGCTGTGATTTTGTTGCTGAATGTTGCACGTGCAGCATTCACGCTTCACTTGGAACTTCATTAGATGAACCAAGGAAAGAAGCGCAGAGCAAGCACGGATGTAATTGTACATTGTGGCAAGCAGCTGTGACAGCAGGGTGGGATCGCCTGTGGGGCTTTCTCCGTGTTACCTAGTTTATTTCGCACGCAAAATGGTGTATGAATGCAGTCAGTTTAGGGTACGTGCTTTAGGCACAGTAATGATTTCTAAGAAATAAGGACAGTTACTCATTTTGGCAGCATGTATATATACTGTATAGCTTTATGACAGTAGCGAGTACATTATGTTTGATTTCTGTGTCTGAAAGCTCTGTAGCACTAGCAGGAGTCATTCTTTATTTAAAGACTGATTGCAATGTTCACTTTTTTACTTTTACAATTCACTTCACACTGTTGGGAAATAAAAATGCCCACCTTCATGTCTTTGCTGAAATCATG